GTTATGTTTATTCATGTATGTGTTGTCTATGACTGTCTTCAAGCTATCATGGCAGTGTTGAGAGTTATGATGAAAAATACATGGCCTAGAAAGACTAAAATATTTACTTTCTGGTTTATTATAGAAAAACAATCAGCAGATCCCTTACAAGATATATTTCTAAAGTGTGCTTAATAATTGAAATTAAAAGCTAAAAAAGAAAAAGCCAAACTAAGTCGAGAAAGAGAAAACAGGGACACAAAAACAGAAAACAAAACTAAAATGGCAGACCTAAATTCATCTGTATATATAACTATATTAAATTGCAATGGTCTAAAAGTCTAATGGAATGACAGAAATTTCCAGAGTGCATAAAATAGCAAGACCCAACTATATGCTACTTACAAAAGATAGACTTTGAGCATAAAGAAAGGTTGAGCATAATGGTTGGAAAAAGGGATACCGTATAAGCCGTAGGAAGCCTGGTGGGGCTATATTGATAACAGGCAAAATAGTCTTCAAGGACAAAGGCAAGACATTCATAAAGGCAAATAAGGTAATTTACCAAGAAGATATAGCAATGATAAAATTGTATTGGTTTAATGATAGGTTCTCTAAGTAAATAAAGAAATAAAAAAGAGAGAATTCCAGGGAATCATTGACAATTTCATATTTATAAAAGATGACTTTGATGCCCAGTCTTAGCAATTCACAGAACTATTGGTCAAAAAATTCAATAACGACATCGGTGATCTGAAAAACACTATCAAAGACCTTGATCTAATTGACCTTTATAGAACTCTATATCTGACAACATCAGAAGACACTTATTTTCAAATTAACATACTACATTCAACAAAATTGTCAATATGCCTATAAAATGTCAACTTATGCCCATAAAATGTCTCAAGAGTTTTTAGAATATTAAAATCAAATGATATGCTTTCTCACCGTGATAAAAAAAAATCACTGAAAATTAATAGTAACAAAATAACCAGGAAAACTACATTTGAAAATTTAGCAACGCCCTGCTAAATAACTTAGGCGACAAAAAGAAATCACAAGGAAAATTGAAAAATGTTTTGAACTAAATAATAATAACAAAACACATCAAAATTTGTGAGATGTCAGAAATGGTACTTAAGAGGAACACTGATAGCTTTAAATGCAAGTATTATAATGTATCACCATAATGAATTAGAAATATAAGAGCAGAGTAGAACTAAATAGGTACAGAAATTAAAAAAAATAGAGACAGCTAAAAAATTGAGTAATGTCAAAGCTCTTATTTTGACAAGATCAACAAAATTAATAAGCCTCTACCTAAACATCGTAAGAAATGAATAAGCAGTTATACCGCAAATAATACGAGAACCTTATGAATAATGCTGTGCCAATAAATGAGACAAAATGAACTGTACAAGTTTTATAAAAATTTAACTTCTCAAAATCAATACAAGAAGATGTACAAAGACCTATAATTTTAAAAGAAAGTAAATTATCAAAAGTCTTCTTATAAAGAAAGCTTCAGGTCCACATGATTTCATTATATAGTGAATACTATAAAATATTCAAAGTGTAAATAATAGCAATTTTATACCAAATTTTCAGTTGTAGGAGAGGGACAAACACTGTCCAATTCATTTTAGAAGGCCAAGATTACTCTAATAAAAAAGAATTGAATAAAGACACGAAATGAGAATTATAGACAACCATAACCTCATAAATACAAGCACAAACAATCCTTAATGAACACTGAAAAATCAAACCCAACAATGTAAGAAAAAGGTAGTGCATGATAACATAAGATTCATGTAAGAAATTCAAGGCTAGTTACCCTTCAAAAATCAATGTACATCACTGTGCTATTTGAAAAGAAAAAACTCATAAAAATCACTTCAAGAGATGAAGAATTATTTCACAAAAATTCAACAAATATTCATGATAACATTTTCCAGAAACCTAGGTAGAGTATAAAATGTCTTCACTCTCATAAAAGGCATACATGGAGAACCCAGAGATAACAGCCTATTTCATGGTCAAGACTAAATATTCCACCCTAAAATCAGAAACAAGACAAAGGAGTCTGCTTTCAACACTTCTTTTGACATTTGTCTGCAGATCCTAACCATAGAGATAAGGCAAGAGAAAGCAATAAAAGGCATGGAGATCAGAAATTTAGCGTAAAACTTCTATTTGCATATCATATGTATGTCTAAATAGAAAATTCCAGATGGTTCACAAAACTAATAGAATAAATAGGTAAATTTACCAGGTTTAGCATATAAGGTTAACATTAAAAATTCTGTTGTATTCTATAGCAGCAGTAAACAACTAAAAAATAAGTTTAAAAAATAATTCTATTTAAAATATTTCAAAAAATATATTTATTTTTTAGAAATAAGTCTAGTGAAAATATTCAAAACCTTTACATTTAAAACTAAAATATGACTGAGAACAATTAAAGAAGAGATTTTAAAAACAAAGTTTATTGAATACCAATTATACATCAATAAAATTATTTTTAAAAATCAAAAAATTGGGAATTTTAAATGCGCACAGCTTATTGTACATAAGCCATACCTCAATAAAGATACAAATGTAGATGAATTAATCAGTAGGTAGGTAGATAGTGAGTCTTCTAAAAAGTGTTTCCCTTTCAAATTAATTTGCTGGAAAGTATCAAATTCAGATCATGTAGGTCTATACCACATGTTTACTATGTAGTAAGCCTGGCACAGGGGCTCTTGAACTAAAAGGTATAAAATGTCAGCAGATTAATTACAAATATTTAGCAGAACAAACACTGGCTAATGAAATTATGTGCCTACTCCAGGTGAGTCATTTGATTGTTTTAAATCAGACAGTAATAAATATTGTTCAAAACGTTCTTTATTTTCAGTCCTGAAGCAGCTCTACGTGTCTGATGTTTAAACAGTGAATAAAATGGTGTTTAGAAATCCTAGTCTCCCATCAAAGAGAGAGGGAGGTTTATTGGTCAATTATAAAAGCAAATAGCTTTTTTATAGTCTAAAACATAACCGTGATCCTTGAAGTTATGCCGACCCTATGCTTAAATGGATTATAACGCACTTGAATTCGTTTTAGTTGTATAACCATCATACAGTTCTTAAAACATAAAATTTCCTATCGTTTATTATGTATATGTGTGTATAATGAATAGATCACTTTGTGTCTGTAAAATTTTGGCAATTACAAAAATTATGAATATATTTTCAAAAAGAATCTACGAAAATTGATGCACCTATTTTAATGTTCAGAAGAATAAACGAAACCATTAGTAGTTTCTTTGCAGAGTGTGCATGTGACACAAGGATACTTAGTGAGCAACAACACACGAATTGATGGAACTCAAATGTGTGTGTGTGTGTGTGTGTGTGTGTGTGTGTGTGTGTCTTCCTGGATAAGTATCAAAGCGAAAACTCATGATTATCCCTGATCCCATTTTTCCTTTAACAATTTTCCTAGCTCTATAGAATATATTTTACAAAGAGATCTCGCTTATTAAGCATTTGGAGAAATTTGCCACTGTTACGCTTTCAAACTCCCGAACTTGCTAAACTTGGAGACTCCTGGAGAGTTTTTTGGTAAAAAAGAGATCATTATCATGATTGTTTTACCTGGTGAAACAAGGCAGTTCTGCCACCTGACTTTCCTCTGAGTTTGCATCACTTTCACATTGCCAAGGAGACTCTGCATGCCACGGGCACCTCCCTCCCTCTGTCTGGCAAGTGGCACCAAGATAAACTGTCAGAGATGCTGTATGCCGAATAATGGGGAAGCGAAAGTCCCCTGTCCTAGCTCTGACGGCCATGAAGTATGAGTTTTGTGATTGCCTTTACATTCAAACTCAGGGACTGAGGGAGAGAATATTATTTCTGAATGCCAAGTATAACTAAAATTGTGGAAATTTTCAGGAGGTGTTTCCTCTTATTACCGTTTGAAGCAATTATAGAGTGAATGGGTCAGTGCAATTTTCCTTCTTTACTGAGAAAATCTTTTCTTGCTACTGCATTTTTGGCTATTTGGATTCAAATCAGGCTTCTCATCACAAACATTCTGTTTGTGAGCAAGACATTGCAAATAAGTAGCAGATCACTCCCCCAAATCATGTTGCATTTACCAGTGGTCTCAGTGTACTTCATTACAAAATAACATGGTATTAAATCAACAGGTAGAATCAACTTGCTTTTTAGCTTTATGAGAATTCTTTAACTTATTGGCCTCCTGGTATATTATGTATATTTCTTCTGATTTTCTTCTGTTAATAATACAATCTCATACAGTACTGTAGGAAGTCAGATATAAAATGAATATGAGCACTTTCACACACATGAGATCGCTCTCAGTGAACACATTTTCGGTGAATTCGTCAATGTTACAAGTGAAGTGCCGCATTCAGCAACAAGTGAGGTTGACTACAATAAAAGAACCTGGATTGGAATGGAGCAGGGACACGTGGAGAAGGGAGTTTGATTACTGATTTACTGACCTGACTACAAATTTATTTTTTCATCTTGTTTGCAGTCATAATGACATAGCCAGAAAGTTTTAGAGATGTTTAAAGAAGGTACTATGACTAGCTAATTCAAGGTTAAAGAAAAATGAACGGAACATCTTTCTAGTGAGAACAATAAAGGTGAAAAATGTGCTGACCTTCTCATTGCAAGAATTTTAATTTAGAAGTTTCCTTTGACCATTGAACAAAGAAAAATGATCCAATGCACTGTTTCCTATGACACATCAGTAAGGGCACACAGCCCTGACCATTGTGAATCTCTCTAGATCAAATTCCCAAATTAAAAATTTAGAAAACAAATTGTGTGTGTGTGTGTGTGTGTGTGTGTGTGTGTGTGTGTGTGTGAATGAGTCGCTTTAAGAATTCATATCTGTCATAAATTAAAATCACCATTCCAAAAAAAACCAGTTCTCCAAGAAGGTAAAATAACTTAAAATAAATATGTGTTCTCCTTAATAGGATAAAAATCATAGCTACTCACCCAACCTTTCAATGGAATAATATCGCTGCTTACTGTCCACACGCACTGTCTCAGCATAAGGGCTGCCAACGCCATAGCCAATAATGTAACCTCGCACCACGATGTTTGGGTTCAAGGGAGGAGTCCAACTCATGATAATGCAGTTGGTCTGGGGCCTCACGTGCAGAGAGCTTGGCTGATCAGGAACTTGAGACTCTAGGATTCAAGAAGAGGCCTCGTCAGCACATCTCATCAGGGAATTTTTAGCATGACAAAACACCATTGAAGCAAGAATTAATATTATATCCCATAAATCCTCAACTCACGTATCACTTATTGCCCAGGTCCCTCCTTTACACTATGTGATATCTTTTCCATGGTAGATTGAACTTAACCCACATTTTTTAAACATAAGAGAATACTGAATTCTTTCTATGGACATGGTAGCATTGTGTATCTTTATCCTTTTTTTTCCTTTGGTGGGGAGGCTCCAATTTTTAATTTTTTTTTTAATTTTTGCAATTGTTCCAGCTTTGTGTGCATTTTAAAATTAATTAATGCATTTATTTATTTATTTTAAAGATATGGGATGCAATTTGGGATTGGGTATACAAATGGTCACTGTACAGGTAAAGTTTGGGCCTGACTTTTGTCCCCACTTTACCTGGTTTGAGATCAGGTACCCTTCGTGGATGAAGTACCCCACTCTCCCCACCCCCGCCTAATTTTTTCTCTATTTTCGTTATTTTCATATATTTCTTCTTAGGTATCATTAATAACGGGTGGAAACAAGGTGGAAGTAAAAATAATAGAATGAGAAATAAGATGTCAAGGCTATGTTGCACTCAAATTATTTACTTTGATTTAAGTTAAAACAAACAAACAAAATGCACAAGTCCTCTCTTATGAAATTGTCAGGAGATGCGGTTGAGGGTCATGATCTGCTTAGCATGACTAGGATGCTACTTAATTCAAGGTTTATTGCATCTGAAAAAAATGCATTTATTATTAAAGGAAAGAAGACAGTGGCCTGGATTAAAGCCACACAAACTGAAGCTGTGTAAATGTGTATTCTACAAGGCTACATTCTGTGATTGACCAGCTCTATGCCCTCATGAAATGATTTAACTTCTTGAGTTTTCTTTCTTGAGGTCCAGGAGTAAGAGCGGAGTTCAAGTGCACACTGGATGCTCACAGCTGTGAGACCCTAAGACATTATTTATTCTAAGCTTCAGTTTCCTTGCCTGTAGAATGAAGATTTAATGAGGTAATGCATACAATATATTAATTAATAATAGCAAATAAGTTCTCAACTGAGGTTAGTTATTAGAGAGAGAAGGTGCATGCCCTCCTGACATGTTTTCATTAAAAAAAGATTGTTGAAAATTAATAATTTTTAAGAATAAATTGACATTCTGATTTTTTCATCATCATTCTTTCCTAAGATCCCATCTCTAAAAGAACAATTCATTTTTCTGGACACCGATTATTATGCAATTATTTATATAATTGAATAATATATAACATATATATTTTTGAATAATATATAACATACATATGTTATAAATATATAACATATATTTATATAGCATCTGTTATGTTTAAGGTGTGGACCTAGGTTACTACAATGTTAAGGATATAGGAAATACTGACTATAGCGAACATAAAACCTGCACTCTTGGAATTATGACTTCATGAAAAGCTAGGCAAGTAAAAAGGCAGTTACAATAGATGATGATAAATGCTTTGATGGACTAAATACAACCACATATAGCCGATTCTTTAAAAATCAAGGAAGTCTTCTGAAAAGAAATGTAGAAAGCAATGACCATCCAATCTTCAATAAGTGCCTAACATAGTTCTTGGTACTTAAGAGTTACTCCCGTGCCTTTGGAGGCTGAGGTGAGTGGATGGCCTGAGCCCGCGGGTTCGAGACCCGCCTGGGCAACTTGGCGAGACCTCATCTCTACAATAAATCAAAAAATCAGCCGGGCGTGGTAGCGCACGCCTGTAATTCCGGCTACTCGGAAGGCTGAGGCGGAAGGATTGCCGGAGCCCAGCAGGCGAGGCTGAGGGGGCCGGGAACAGCCGCTGTGCTCCAGTCTGGGTGACAGAATGAGACTCCGAGAGTTACTCAAAAATAGTTATCTGATTAGTAATTCCAGCCTTATTCAAACTATTGTATCCATTATTTCTGTCCCAGACATTTCTGTGTCCAGAGAGTCTGAAAATCTCTGACAGTAATTTATATGTGCCAAATTATGCAGGGGAATCTGATGACTAAAGGTAGGACTACAATACATTTTTTTCTCCACTACATGACAGCAAAAGCTGAGGCAATACCTTATTTTATCCATATTCAACAAGCATACGTCTAGCTTAAGTGACAGATGGAAGTATTTTTTTAAAATTATTTTTAAAGTAGGTACCATACTAGCAGCTTTTTAAAAGGTTCTAAAGATGCTGCATCAACAGAATTTTCTAAAGGTGCTTCTTTTTTCCTAAAGATGCCCTTTTATGAGCAAAAAAATTTAAAAGGACAGACTATTACTTGTCTGCTCTAAAGAAGCCTGTGATATAATTTTACATCATAAAAATTATGTTTCAAAATGTGGGCATAAACCTAAACAGCAGAAACACAATGTTTGTGAAGTGTTTCCTACTATAAACTCTAAGTAAAAGTAATGAAAGGATGAAAGGGAATTAATGCTTTTCAACACTATTGTTACAGAGCTTGCCAGTGCCCTTGAAATATAATGGGCTCTACAATCAATTTTGTTAAACACATTTGAAGTTTTTGCAAGAACTATTGAAGCAACAAGATAATCTGCCTAATCTACTAAGAAATTAAACAGAATGCTATTTTCTTCTGCATTTATGACTTTTTAAAAGAAATATGAAACCATAATCATTTGAGTCAATAGTCAACATCTTTTAGGATAAAAGAAAAAACTATTTAAATTGTTTTCAGAACAAGAACTACTCTGTATTTCTGCACATCAAGAATAACTCTCCTGTAAGTTCGTTAAGTGAGTAAGCAGATAATTTCATCCCTCGGAGCTTTAAATGTGCCACAGTAATGAGTACACCAACTGGCCCTTGAAGAAGAGAAGCTCTTAGAAAATGAGACTCACTTTTTTCTTCATTGTATTAAAATATTCCAATCCTAGATACAAACCTCAAAACATTTTAGCATTAGAAAAAGTGTTATTATATAGGGAGATACACTGTCTCTTCATCCAAATCCTTAATGAGCTTGTATCATTCAAGCTCGTAGGGCCAGAAGGACCGTTCCAGTCAAAACAGTATTAGGCCTAAGCCATTCATAATATATGACCTCATCACGGTGATGTCTGTGCCAGGAGACTGTTCCTAATTTGTAGCCAATTTGTGCCCACCCACTCATTTCTTAGTATAAAGACTGAAAGAATATTTTCCTTTCATGCTTTCTAAGTTTATTCTAACACAGATGATCGTATGGATTAGGGAAGTGGCTCGAACTACAAAGCATCAATTTAGAAAATTTGCTGTGGAAGATACGTGACTTGAGTACTCCTCGTTTTGGGTCTGAAATTTGCTACTGAGAAGTACATGAGGGATTGTACAAGTATTTCTAGGGCAGTGATTGCCTATAGAAAGCATAGAGTAGCATTAGGTTCATTATTGAGATAATTTGGAACCAAAGAGCACATTTTGCCTGAAATACCCAAATTAATGAGGCCCCTAATTTTTACTATAGTCTGAATGATCAAGATAACTAGGTCAACTGCCACTCTTGATTATACTGTATGGATTCTGTCTTGGTTTAATTTGGTGCTAAAAAACGTGTGTTATTCTTTGAGTAATGATTACAGGTTTCCACTAATGAGTAATGTTCACATACAGCACACTAGGGCATTTATTAGATTAATCCTTTTGACATTTCAGCAGTTACTGTGGATCTGTGACATGCCAGTCATGATATCTTGATGAGAAGATCTATGCTGAGAAGGTCATTATACTTGGAACATGGAGGTAAGAGAAAAAAATGGAAAAGACAAAAAGTAGCTATTGGGAATGTAAAATGGTACAGCTGCTACGGAAACAATATGGTGGTTTTTCAAAAACTTTACAATAACATTACCATATGCCCCTGCAATTGCTCTTCTGGGTATATAACCCAAAGAGTTGAAAGCAGGAAGTCAAGCAAAGCAAATGTATTCATACCCATGTCCCTAGCAGCATTATTCATAATAGCCAAAAGGTAGAAGCAACCAATGTGCCCATTAAAAACACAATGCGGTAAATTCGTGCAACAAAGTATTATTCAGCCTTTCAAAAGGAAGGGATTTTTTTACACACACTATAATATGGGTGAGTCCTGAAGATGACATGCTAATTGAAATAGGCCAATTACAAATGGACGAAATCTGGACAATTCCCTTTATATGAAGTACCCAGAGTAGTCAAATCCATGGGGAAAGAAATGAGAATGGTCATTGCCAGGGGCTGGGAAAAAGGGGTTGGCAGTATTGTTTAGTGGGAACAGCACTTTAGTTTTGAGAGATGAAAAGAGTTACAGAGACAAACAGTAGCAAAGGCTAGTACCACAACATAAATACACCTAACGCCACTGAACTGTACACTTAAAGATGGTCAGGGTGGCAAATTCTGTGTCTATTTTTATATCATGAATAAAATAAAGAGAAAGAGGGAGTCACCCATGGACTAGTCACTGCAAGCAAAGCCAAGTGAAGGTAAGAAATTTCGATTGTATTCTACGTGTATGAGAGGCTCTTGCGTGGTCTCTCCTGGTTGGAGTGGAGGGGTGAATGAAGTGTGATTCAACTGATATTTTTGAAAGAGCACTCTATTTTTCTTTCTTTTTTAAATGTTTAATTATTTTTAAAATGGGGGGTACAAATGAGGGTTAGGTACATACGTGGTCATCATCCAGGTAAAGTGTGGGTACCCTTGTTGATGTTATGAGCCTCCCTCCCCCGGCAGAGTCCCCCTACTGCCAAACCCTTTCTTATGGTATTACAATAAATATTCAAGCTCCACTTATGATTGAGTCCATGTGGTATTCGGATCTTTGCTACTGTGATAAATCACCGAGTATTATAGACTCTGATTCCATCCAGGTTGCTGCAAAGTTTGCAGTTTTGTTTTTCATTATGGCTGCATAATATTCCATCGTGTAAATGTACCACATTTTCTTTATCAGTCTACTTTCC